GGTGGAACCCCACACACTCCACGCAAAGATAACAGGACCAAAAAATCACAGAGGGTGGGAAAAAATGCAGGAAAGAAATCCTTCTGCAGCTCTGGCTGCTACTGCTGCAGCTCAACAGTGATGGGGGAAGAGGAAAGGGCGCAAGAGGGATCATCAGAGCTTTAGAGGGCACAGGGCACCAGCACTGAGCCCTCTCCTCACTGCCCACATCGGCAGACTTTCAGCTAAAATGGCAGAACCCCACTGAAAATCCCGTCTGAACAAGCCACAACTTACCTTTGGTTCCTCACTACGAGTATCAGGACAAACCCACACCAGGACAGTTCCTGGTTCCAGTTTTCTGCCAAAGGGAAGCTGAGAAGACTCGCAGCAAGATACAGGTGTGTGCAGGAGATGGCTGCCTCTCATCCCCACAGGGACGGTCTCATTTTGTGCCACCCCAGATGTTATTTCAGTGAGGCTTATCAGCTGCCCTTTCATCTTCTCCCTGTGAGGCTGCTTTTCAGTACTTGAGATATGATCACTAAAGGATTCCCAAAACCAGGTGAACTGCAGTGACCAGAGCCCATCCGTGACGCCAGGGATGAGTCTGTAAGGGAAGCACCGAGACTGCAAACTTACCCCACACGTTGTGCAGAGCCCAAGTCCACTTCACATGGACAGATCACCCCGTAAATGTACTGCAAGAAGCTTTTCTGAATTACAACAGCAAACCAAGGGCTTATAACATCCATTTCTCTGAAAATCTGGACAAGTTCGTTACCTCAACACAGGCAGCACCAACGCCTCTGACAGCCCTTCCTACCGGAGAATAACCCAGGCCAAGTCCCCTGGGCCCCCGGTTCCACTTGTGAGGAGACACGTGAGATAAAACCAGGAGCACACACAGATTGTACCAAAACACACCAGCAAACATCGCTTTATTACACTGGCTTAGTTACCCAGACTAACCATAAAAGCAGTTTAGATGGATGCAGATGAACAAGTCAGTGGTTTACGAATTAGGTCAAAGCTCCAGAATCGTTACCAGGGAACAGGTAATTCCTCACCAGTTGTTTCCAGTGTACACCAGTGGGTCTCAGGGGGGAGGAGGAGGCAGGGGCAGACCCTCCTCAGGTGTCCCTGCTCCTGCCCGCATCATGAGACAGACCCAGGAAATCGTATTGGAAGGGGATGGGAGGCCACAGTGTTCATCAGCACAAACAGAACGGAGACACACTGACCTGAGCCGGGCTCAGCTGGGACTACACAAGCACAACACACTGGTACGAGCTACCACACTCAGTTCACAGTTGGTAAGCCTGGTCTAAAACTGGAACTAGAACAACCCCGGGTGGAAAGGCAGAGAAATAAGCACTGGCTCAACTCAGCACTCTCTGCCCATTTACAAACCTGTCAGCATCTAGTTCCACAGCCAGGGACTCTTCACTACCTCACAGCAGCAAAACAGTGTCATTTGGGAGCAGCCGCTGACGACTACCCACAGTTCATCATCGTATGTACTGAGAAGCAGCCTGATGCCACCTCTCACATTGGTCACCCTCCTCCGCTCTGCTGAGCAGCTGGGGCAGCCCCCGGCCCATCAACTCTGTTCATTTGTTGAGTTCTTCAAATACAACCCAACAGCTCAATCGGTTAAAGGCTGCCCTATCACTAATGCCCATTCTCTGGGGGTGGAAAGTACTTGGGTCACTCTGTAAACATGGGAGAAATGCAGATTTTGGTTCTTGTTCATGTACAAAACCAAAACACATCAAAACCGCAGATGTTTGCTAGTCTGCAGCTCTGCAAGTCCCCTGCCACTTAAGAACTTTGGGGTTGCACTCTTGAAATTTTACTGGTGGTGTTTATGTCATTTTCTTCTGGGTAAACACTTCCCTGAAAAAGACCCTTTAACAGCCAGATTAGATCACAGCATTTAAAAAGTGACATTGTTAGGGTTACGTCAGTGCCTCAGGCGCCAACGTGAAGACTTGGAGCAGAGGTTACAAAACTGATGCTTAGTGTAGCACTTACATTTTGGAATAATAACCTGAAAAAAAAAATGCAGCCCAGGTTTGCCATTTCTTTTCCTAGATGCTGAGTCACCAGCAAAAGTGCTGTACAGCTTGGCCCGCAGACCTCGGCTGCTACACAGCGCTGGGGACGAGGGATGCGCTTTGTCTCCTCTATTCTTTTGGCAGGGATGGCAGCACGTTAACAGCTATTTTGTGCGTGGCTGCAGGGATGCCTTTCCCAGCTGGACTCGGGAGATTGCTCAGTCTGGAGTTACCCTGGGAGGAACGGGGCAGCCCTGAAGGATGGCAGAACCTGACAAGCCCCGTGCAGCGGACACCAAGAATGAAACCTTCTTGGTAAGCAAACTGAAAGAGCTGAGGATAAGGCAAATAACTTAAGACTGATGGAGTAACTCACAGTTTTCCACTCATTTTACTCCACGAAGCAAAGGAAAGGCAGGTTGACCTTTCTTATTTAACCTTCCCTTACATTTAAGAGATGAGCGAGACTAAAAACAAGATGTAAAAAACCACTAAAACAAAACACCACTAAGGAGAAGCTCTAGTCTGTCTCCCTAGAGCTGTGATGCAACATAGAACTATTGTAGGCTACTCCGGGATGTTGGAAGTCAGTTTAGAGAAAGGCAATGGCCCCTGTGGCACAGGGGCTGTAACAGTAGTGTACTGTGTCACATTCTGTGCAAGGTACGCAACTTCTTCACAAGCTTCGGTTTATCTACGTTTATCTCACCGCAGTTCCGTTAACTGGCGGCCAAACACTTTACACAATCTTAATCCACAGCTCCAGGTAGTTTCAGCAGATAAAAATAATTCATTTCCTGTGCCAGGTATCTGTGCACTCCAAAACAAGTGTTCCTAATGCCCAAACATCAACATTGAAATCTCACAGTTTACTGGAAATAGATCAGCTAGATTCCCTTTGCGCTTCGTCTTAAAGCCCCTTGTCTCCAAACCTTGGTTTCAAGGAAGACACACAACACGCCTGAAGGAAGATCCCATCTCGTTGCAACAGTGTTGGTTCTGACTTCCCTCTACACAGACTTTCTCCGACTCTGACTAGGCGCACACGAGGAGAAAGGGTGTGTATGTCAGTGACATCTTTTCCCCCCGAGAGGATTTTCACAGTTGGAAAGCTAACAACAAAAATGACAAGTTAGGTAGGATAAGGTCAAAACTGTCCACCAGGCCAACTTGAGCGCTACGAGTTCCTTTCAGCCCTTTAGCTGTTGCTCAAAGTTTCCTCTCTCTTAGTTTGTTCCCATTTTGTTCGTCCAGGATCGATGAGTGTCCATCACCGTTGCTCAAGCATTTGTCCTTTTCATATTTGTGCTCTTGCTTCTGTCGCCTTATCTCCTTATACCGCAAAGTGATGTCACTGAAAAGAAAAACAGATGTGAACCAGAGATGTGAATAAACAATTTCAATATACAATAAAAACAACAAGGCAAGTTCTGGATAAAAGTGCCTTTGGGATAACTTAACCCACTTGAGACTTTTGGCCGTAAATTTCTAAAACTGTTGATGGCATTAATTCACTTGAAATTTGTGTTTCTTGCTAGTTGTCTGGCTATGATCACCTCCTTCAGAAGCGTAACACAACAGCTCAACCACTGCTGTGGCACTGGGCCTCCTCTATAGATTGCTGGAACTCCTTCACCTTGTGCAGCTGCTTCTCATTTACTTGCACAGAGCAGGATTCAAACCAAACACGTTCAACTTGCCTCACGCCACTGACGCTGGGACAGCTCAGACAACTGCAGCACAGCAGGCGGCTCTTGCAATGAAGCTGTGAAACACCCTGGTCTTGTTTAACTCTGAGCACAGCAAAAACAGAACACTGATCTCCTCTGCCACCTTCACCTGTCCAGAAGACCAGGGGCACTCAGGCACTCAACTGTTCACCTGCTTCTGCAGCAGCACTAACACAAGTAGTGCCACAAAGAGCAAAGCTACCAGAGGCTTGATCCAGAAAGCTGCCAGGATCACGCACAGAAAACTCCCTGTTTATTTAATAATTCTTACACAAAACCACTGCAGCTCTAGCCATCCAGGAGTTGTGATCCCTGCAGGCTAATGACAGCACACGTTTGCAGATGCGCTGTTGAACGGATGTCGAGAACAACCCACCCTGTGTGACCCAGGCTAGACCCAAGCACAGCACACCACACAGTGCTCACCGGATGAAGAAACGCCAGGCTGTCCAGGTGAGCACAAGAATAATCCCCAAGATCCAGCACTGGGTAATGGAGAAAGGAAGAGAAAGCGTGAGCGGGTAGGGATCGTACTTCACGACAATCAGAAACTCCGTGGCAGTAATGGCAGCGACCAGCCACGCCTGCTGACCCAGCTTCTTATGGAACTTCCTGCAAAATAAATGCACAGATAAAACAAAGCTGTTGCTGTAAAATTAAGCATCCAGAGAAATATTCATAAAAAGACAGCTGGGGTAATTAATTGCATTTGACTTTGCACAGTTCTACAAGTCTAGTTTGGATTACACAGCAGGCTGACAACTTCCATTCTGGTCTTACTTAAGTTTCCTCTCAGAGATTCTGAAAACACACAAGAAATTAAATTTCATCATTGTATGATGCAAGGAAGTATCTCCATTTTCAGGGTATTGGTAAATCCACATAAACCAATTCTCTGACCAGCTTGAGATCAACCGAGACTCAGGGTACGGTATGAAACAGGAGCTCTACACCTAGATTTCCTCTGCAAGCAACAAGTCACACTGTCCTAACCATATTTCACTGTCCTAACCATATTTCAGAATGCAGTTATATATAACTGCATTCTGAAACTTACTCTCTTCCCAAAAAAGTATTCGATGAGCTGTCACTCATGATCTCTAAACAGATTTTAAAAGAAGAAACCTTAATGACATATAGGCAAGACACTAAGATACAAGGACGTTTCACTTCTATGACAATACAACCTTGGGGCAAATATGTGATTAATATTTAATCCCCGGGGTTTGTTTTTAAGCAGCACCAGACAAGTCACCGAGAAGCTGCAGTGCTGTGTACAAGCCTAGTGAAGGACTCATCCATCAGTAACGCGGGAACCGGACCGCAGCAAGCACACACCACTAACTTTTCTCAACAGCCTTTGGATTCTGTCTTTTGCTTAAAAACCACAGAAAGCACTTTGGTGCACCTTCCTCTCAGCCCTAAACCTTCTACCTTAACTATGATGTCCCTGAAGATGCCCCAGACAAACCATGCAAACAGAAGCACGACCAGCTAAACATGAGGCAGCTGCTCCCTTTGCCTTCTCTTACTCCCCATTCTGCTTCTGGTCTACGTGTCTCTGCTTTAATCTCAGGGAGCATCTGTTCTGCAGAGGCCTTGCCCTCTCACTTAACCACGGTGCATTCTGAAGCACATTTTCCTATCAGGTCCTTTCTCTTTTGTCCAGCTGACTGTGTTATTCCATTCCTACCACAGCGTAAGATGTGAAGCAAAGCACATTCAGGAAGAATTCAGCATAAAGTGGCAGAAGAGAGGAGATGGGGAGCAGAGGGACACAACCAACCTCCACAGGGCTGGGGAGAGCAGGACCGATGTGTTCAGATGACCTCTGCAGTACTTCTAGGGCATTGCAGCACCAGGAAATGCTAGTCTGCTCTGTGATGTCCAGCCCCCTGTCCGGCTGAGGCACGGACTTTGTAAATGCTGTGATATCCAGCAGTCACCTAAGCTCTCTGGGCCGTGTTTTCATGCTGGTTTCACCATGCAGTGGATGAAAGATTTGTCCTAACAAATCCCTGATTAGGATTTCCTTGGAGCATGGCTGCTCTGCTAATGCCTCCCTCTGCCAGGCAGAAGAAGGAGCCTGCTGACACCCTGCCACCCAGCTCACACACATCCAAAAGGGCCCCAAACATGCCCCAAACAGGCATCTCCAATAGCACGGGGGCAGAGGGAGCTGCAACTCCACAACTGCTCCCTGTTTCTCTTCCCCTCTCCTCATCAGATGCCAGCAGCTCCACTGGGGAGAGCATCCTTCCTTTAGCAGGAATTTTCCTGTCGCTCAGACACATCTGCTCCACTGCATCCCCTTGGATTCTCAGTATCTGGGAAGGGATCTAAGCATGGAGAACAAACAGAGCTTCTCCTGAATCCAGGAGAGGCATCGCAAGTCACGCACACAAAACACACAGTTTCTTAAACATCAGGCCCAAGAGTCATATTTGCCACCAATGCAAAAGTTCAAACTACACAAAATCACCCAAATACACTGGAAAAAAAATGCTGCAGTAAGCCAAGCGCAGGTTATTGTTGACACAGATGGGATGAGTGCATTCCATTTTAAAAGTATCCTGCCTAGACCAACTCGGATGAAAGGACTTTGGAAACTGCTCCAGGTGGTTCATCTGGTAAGACAGGTTAAATGGGCAGAAACTAGCCTGAACACACGGATACAGAGAAAAAACCAAACATCAAATCCCTCGCTGTGAACTCAAGCTGTTCAGATGACTCGGACAGCTTTCTGCTTTGCTGATCTGCTTCTGCATTTGCCATCATTTTCTTTCACTAGCTTATGACAGCACACCAACAAAAGAATTAAAGGAACCTGAACAAAAGAGCTGTGCAGACCCTAAAGTGCCGAGGAAGAGAATTAGTTTCCTGTCCTTCTACTCATGAAAGATTTTAAAGAAAAGTCCTTTTTTTTTTTTTTTCCATTTTATGAATGAGATTAAAGTTCATGGCCCCAGTGCATACTCCTTGGAAGCGACCTGAAGATCAGAAACCAGGAATCTATGACAAGGTTAAATGCTACAGACTCTTGCATCAAGACATTTCTGGTCAGGAACATTTCACATAGCCAGTCCTCAAGAACTCAGAGGCAGCACATTGATCACAACAGCAGTGTGACATGTTAGGACCTGGAGAACAGCTTCAAGAACCTCTTGGACTATGTCAGTTCTAGATACCTTATTGTCACCATGCTCAGACCAAGTTCCTGCAAGCAAAGCCCTAGGACTGTCTGCAGATACTAATAATCCTGAATGAGAAAAAGACAGTCTTCATATCTGAACGTCACTACTTTCTACACTTACTGTTGCAAGGCTGGCTAAAGAGATCTAATCAGTTTATCTCGGACAATCCCGTCACTACCAGACAAGGCAATGAGCCATGTTTCTGACAAGGAAGGTCAATGGAATATTCCAGCCTTTGTCCACTGAGAAGCTGAGTGAGTTTCCAAAAGGAAAAGGTCAGGAAGGTTTCTCATGTGCTGTCAGCAGGGAGCCTCTGGTACAGCCTGCTCTTCCCCACCAGCTTCTCCCTACAACACAATAGGAAGAATCCAGAACGGTTCCTTGGTTCAAAATGATTGCAAGTGAAATTACACCCAGTTAAGTTGGTAAAACAAGGGTAGATTATCTCTGCCTGGACGACCTGAAATACACAAAGGAATTGAAGTCCAGTTGGAAAAGCCTTCGCAGAGAAGACAGCGGGTAAGACCAGATGCGAGGTTCTGCCATTTGCGTGAATGGTCTGATGAGGTCAGCTCTGTGGTGCATCAAGCAGAGCCATGAACCTCGGAAGCGAGGGGGTAAGTCACCTTACCCACCAAGAGAAACAGAAGAGTAGGTGGTGGTGGCAATGATGAAGACATGCAGTTCAGGATGAGAGTCTCTGCTTGCTGGATGAACTTCTCCAGCTCACTGAAAGAATGACAACAAACTGAATCAGCAATGAAGCATTGGTGACTGATGATTCTCCTACATTTCCATGTTATGCCACGTGGTTCAACAGAGGGCAAAGGAGATTTTCCAGCCCAAACACAAGGACCAGAAGATCGTGAATGGTGCTAAGGAGAGGAGCTCACCAGTGAGAGGCAGAGACCTCTTCTTACCTTTGAGTTGGAGGCACGTCCCAAACCAGTAGGTCCGACACCAAAGGCAGGGGCAGCCTGCCACTGCTGAATGTCCTGAAATCCGACTAAGCAATGTGGGTTGACCCTTCTTCCCAGTTCTAGGAGTCAAAGCCTTGCAAGGGAAACTGATCTTCAGAGAATGTTGGAACCCTAAATTCTGAACACAGACACTTTTTGCGTTGGTCAGTGACAGACAATGAACAACCCTTGAAGCCAGACGTTGTCTCAGATTTAAGATGTGGGCTCAGGCAATTAAACTTAAAAGAAAATGTGATTTTGAGAACAAAGCTTTCTCAGGTCTTACATGGTCTGCAGAAACAAAAGCAGCAAGGACAAATGATGCTTAAGTAGAACAGTCTGAAAGTACATGCACTGTTGGGTATGAGTGCACTTTGCCATGAAGCGTCCTCTGGTCTGCAAGAGGGTGCCACGAGAGCTCCGGAGCCCCAGGGACCAGCTGGAAGATGCTCAAGAAGGGAAGCGACTTTAAGAAACACTTTTTTTCTTTAGTTTGGGCCCTGTTGTCCTTAGAAGGCACATCTAAGGACTGTAGCTCCTGGCTATCAATCTGAAAGTGGAGTTCAGCACTCCTCTGCCCACAAGCCAGCAGCATTCCAGCTAATTTACACATTATGTTCTCAAAAGAGTGATCATTTATTAAAAACTGAGGTTCAAAACAGTGCCCATCGAGTGCCCTTAACAACAGCTGCTCTAACCACACGTAGTTAGAATTTCACCTCCAAAACAAAGGAACACAAAGCAGATGCTTTGGGATTAGGTCTTTTTGTCCCCGACAAGCTGAACTACTGCCCTGAGATGGATGCCAACAAGCTGGAGCAAATTCAAAACAAAGCAAGTGAAGCTCGACATGGTATATACACAAGAGGACTGGCTTACGGGTCATCCATGAAGTCGTAGATCTCCCTCATAGCCACACCTCCCACATTGACAAAAAAGACAAGTCGTAACAGGACCAAGTAGTGTTCTGGTGGCATCCAAAGGACAAACTTCAAGTAAAATGTGTTCAGCTCTGCCAATAAAAACTGAGAAAAAGGACATTTTAATTACATTCAGAAGACTTCACTGAATGAAGCCGGGAATCTCCTCCTCTCCCTGCATGACTCCTCCCACCGTTTCTCTAAAGCCACAAGGTCCTACTCAGTACTACTGAGCACACCATCATCAGTTGCAATCATGACCAAGAACAGTGGGTTTTTAAAAATTTTCTGTGTGTAGAAGAGGTATTAAAAAAAAAACCGTAACAGAAACCTGGACAAGCACTGCCTCTAATTTTGAACAAGTTTATCAAATTTGAAGAACCTGCAGATCTACTGATAACAAAACCTAAAAGCACCAGCTTGTCCTTTCACTATTGTTTAAAATCTTACAGAGAACCTCAAAGGAACGAGAGGCATAAGCAGTATTAAACATCCTGGGGTTTTCTGTTTCCTTCAGTTTCTTTTGTTTTGTTTTTTTTTTATTTTGGGGTGTTTTTTTTACAGTTATGCAAACATCACTGCCAAAGCCAACTTGGAATAACTGGTTATACATTTAGAGCAAAATGTTCTCAAGTGAGCTGCCCTGGCAATGTGATTAAGTGAGCAAGCAGACATAAGTTTCTCACTTCAAAAGAAAAGATAACAAATGGCATTGAGCCTTGTTTAATCCAAAGGAGTGAGCCAATACTTGAAGCTGCTTATAAACTGTCAGCTGAAGCTTTGATAAAAGAAATATTATTAAACCAAAGACGAGTAGACTAGTATAAATTCAATGAATCTCTCAGTTACAAGATCTGCTCCAGCACCTAAAACTTCCTTTCTTCAGGGTGTCAGAAGCTGTGTATGCACACAGTAACCATTCAGAGAAACATGTATTTTATTTGTGCAGGCACATTTACTTTACTTCTCTCTCCCATAAACCATGGGAAGCTCAGCGAGCCTGTTGTGCTGTGAACTTGGCAAAGGTTTTATGTAGCGGAAATCAGGTGATGTGAACTTGTATTCAACTGATGGAGGCTGCAAACTGCCTGGCACTCGCTGCTGGCACTGCTGTACACTGCCTGCTTACAGTCAGCACGCTGTCCCTGGAGCACACTCAGGTCTGCAGCTTGACATCAGCATAAAATGTAATATTATTATGAGATATTGCATTAAAATGCAATGTTGTTATGAGAGAGGTGGTGGTGCCTTGCCAAGCAAACTAATGTGACCCACTCAGCAAACCGTAATGGGGAACTTCACTGGACAGACCCCAAAATAAACCATCACCAGGTTTCATATTCCACACATTTCAAGATGCTTAAAGGGACACTGTTCTAGCAGCTGCTAAACAACACAGAGTTATGTCCTGTACCACAGCAGTAATACAGAAATGGGTTCACGCCCATTGTCTCTGGAATCACTAGAAATGTCAAAGGGTTTTTTTTTAAGTTAAACTTCACAGTTGCTGAATTTAAATAAGTTTGAGCTTCTCAGAGCAGAGCCAAGTGACAGCCCATGAACAGCACAAAGGCCAAAGCCCCCCCAGCTGACAAGAGGCAGGAGTGGGGAAAAAGCACTTCAACTGCCAAGTTTATCTTCCACATCAGCGTCACGTGCAACACCTGGGACTGTGAAATCAAGTTATGGATTCCAGATGATGCATTCCTGTAACACAGATCCAGCCCCTCAGCTGGATGAGGGAGGCAGACTGTCCCTTTGTTGTGGCTGCTGGAGAAGCCAATTTTCTCTGTTGTGTAAATGGGGTAGCTACTTTACCTGGACTGGTCAAGCTCGACACTGTTAACACCATCATGTGCTACGTGTTCAGTGAAACATAAAAATAATTTAAAAATCTAGCATAACTGAATTATTTAAGTCTATATAAAAATATTATCTGAGGCAGAACTGTGCATGTCAGGAGCCATGCTGCCCAGAGCTAACATTCAGAAGCCTGGGGCTTTGGTTACAGTCCTCTCCAGCTGTAAAGTGACACGGATCTGCTTAAGGCAGAGAAACAAGCCACTTTCATCCAAAGCCAACGCTTTTGGAGCAGCAGTTACTTGCTGAATTATGTGTAGACCATAGTTTATATTGCTAGCATTGCCAGCCAACATTGTTCAGCCAGCAAGAACAAATATTTCTGCAATGAATCTGTAAACAGTAGGAAAGGCATGGAAACAGACACCTTTTCTGCAGGATTCGAAGTGATCTCTTCCAGCCTCATCTAAAGAAACATCACCATGTCAGAGCTTCAGCCTAAGTTACTGTTTGTACAGTTGCTTGAGTGTTACAAAACATGAAATCAAATGAGAGAGAAAAGACAGAAAAGTTCCTTACTACAAAGATGATGCCACAAACTGCTAGCCATCTGCGTAAGCTGGATGCTGGCTTCCACTCAAATTTGACCCAGCTATATGGGGTGAACTGGAAGACAATTCTCTTCATCTTGCCTCTGAAAAAAAAGCAGAACACATTCTTGCAACTTTAAGAAACAGCACATAAAAGACACCTACTAACATTTCCATCCACACATGCAAAACACCTCCATTTTCTCCACAAAAATTACTACTTCATGAGATGAACATTCTGTGTTGGAGAAGCCTGTTATTTGGACTATTACTTTAAACTTTAATGTACAACACCCACTGCAGTGAGCAGCTCCTCAGTTCTGCCTCACTCAGCAAAGACACTACAGAAAAGGACAGTTCATTACTGACACAAGACTACAAGGGACTTAGTCAGTTTTAAGCTTCAGTGTCCTAGTTACTCCAAGTTCTGATTACTAGGGAATGCATTATTTGCACAAGGACCAAACAGATCCTTGCTGTGAATAAGAGTACGACCCTGACTTGGATTCCTGCATCTCCTTTAACAATGTCATTAAATAAGCTCCTTTCCACAAGATGCCCTCATCCCTAGACATTAGGCAATGCTCATGCCATACAGGTATATTTTCCACAATTTAATTTGCAAGTTAAATAAAACTCTCATAAACAAGCTTCCACACAGTAACAAGTTACTAGATACTTAAGCCATCTCAACACATATGAATTTTTTAATTCACATTAACCCATAGCAGAACAACCCTTCAACAACCAAGATCTTTAACATGGGCCCAAGCTTTGTGCTGTGCTTCTGCTTGTGGAGTTACTTTCTACACCAACTTACTTATATGTAGGAATGTTCCAGAGTCCTTGCCATTTGTATGTTTTCAAAGAAAGCCAAGACAGAGTCTTCATCCCACAGTAAATTCCCAATCCATTACATAAGATCACATCCATTATCCACTGAAAAGAGAAAAAACACATTGTGATGCTGGAGAAGAAACACCAAAGCTTGTAAAAAAGAAGGTACTACAGGCACACAGACATGCAGACACACTCCCAGCCACAAGGACTGAGCACTCCCAGAGAAGAGAGGTGCAGTAACTGTCAGGAGGAAAAACCTCAGCTGCCCAAGCCTACTTAGAGCAAGTGTGTTCAACAGATGATGGCTGTAGATTCGCATTTGCTGTGTTCACTCTGCTACAGAACAGACCTCTTCCCACTTACTATCAGCTCAATTCCACTCTGTTAAGTGAGAACTTTAGAAACACTCCCAAATAAACCCACCTGAATGTGTTACTATGCACTGGATTTTACTATGCCCAGTAACTTAACATACTCTTTAAGCTTTGGGCTGCCTCCTAAAAAAATGACCTGTCTCCAGGTTCAGGATGTGAAATTTAACAAGTGATTTCTCACCATGCTCTGTCTTACTGCCGAGCGTTAATTCTGGAGGTGGGGCTCTTGAGCTGAAAAAAACAACCTGGCTGCCCTTTGCATTCAAAGAAGCAGAGCACAGAGTGTTAATTTCATAAGAAATTTTTTTGAAGGCAAAATAGTTTTGCTTGATGTCTTTATACATAATGCATGTACTTTTATAAATTCAATGATGTCACTAATCATTACAAGCTTGGGAAAGAGCTCGTACTGTAAGAATAAAACCACGATGAAATAAGTTAAGAATTACAGCTGTGTGCCCTGAATGTAGATAATTTTGATCGCTCTGGTAACCTACTTACATTTCATAGGAAAAAAAAAAATAAAATAAGTGTGTCATTTTAAGCTACAGAGCTTGTTTTTCCAGGGAAACTAGACCACAGTAGTCCCTCTGGCTTGAAAAAATACACACAAGCAGTATTTTAGGACAAGAATGGTTACAGACTATCACGTGCAAAGACCAGACCATACAGCTTTTCAGTAACACCAAACGTTTATCTTTTAAAACCTTTTTATAAACCACAACAGAAATTTAAACACAATATTTACTGTTTTCAGAAACAGTGAAGACAGGTTTGCACAGAAGGAAGAGCTGGACACAAATCCCGCTGAGTCTGTTGCTGGGGTTTTTTTGGTTGTTTTTTTTTACACAAGCAAGAAAAATCACCATCTGAAACTTTGTACACACAGTTTTACCTGTCTCTTAATTTCAGATTTTATGGTTTGTACCATTACCACATATTTGATAATGTTCAGGTAAAGCTTTAGATGCTTTCTCTGGTGTGAAATGAACCAAACTAAATATTTAACCTGTGCAATGATTTGAAAATATGCAGAATTATATAGACAGTGACAAATATATTACAAACTCAACATGGAGAAGCACCAATGCTCCTGAGCTGTAGCAGTCAAACATACATCTTTGGCCACACACACACACGATATAATTTAGTTCTCACCACTTCCTACCCACCTCCCTTTAAATATATATTCTTCCATTTAGACACATATATCATCATCTATGCAGTACATACGTGATCCCACCAACATTCACTGAAGTTTGGAAGCTGGTGTTCCAGACTGTACTCCAGAAACTCAAACATGACACTGATGATCATACACATCCACCAGTCTCGAATCATCAATGTCTACAGAAAGGGAGAAAAAAAAAATCTTTCAAAGATGCACAACAGTTGCAACACGTACTCAAAACCATCCCAAGAATGAATGTTGCCACACCAGACTGGGTAGAAGCAGACACTAGAGCCCTTTAGAAATCTAAATAAAGAAAAACGCCATAAATACTGTAGAGGCACTGCTCAGATTTACAGTTCTGCAAGTGCATGGAAAAATTCTTTCTTTTTTTTTCCCCCCTAATTTCAAAACTGATCACTTCAGGAACACGAGATTAACCCTTCTGGACTCCAAACACAGAGGACACACATGGTGTGCTTTGGTTGCCTGTTATTTGTACGGTTGAACATCTTGTCTCCAGTGCCCAGAAAAGGATCAGGAAACTCATGACAATCTTATTTTTTTCATGTGATCATCTAGTAAAGCCCAATGCTCACAGGCCTCTAAACTTATCAAGTATGTAGCACAATAAAGACAGTGAAGAGTCTAGATGATGACATCAATACCATGACATGGAAGACAGGCAGGGAAAATGGGATTCAGAAAGAAGTTAGTTAAGTGGATGGAATTACTGGGTGCTTGACCACCACAGGCAGCATCATTCTAATGCTGCTCAAAAAACACTTTTCAGAGCCTGTTTAATGCAAACTTTAAAAAGTGACCTGCACTAAACCTCAGCCCTGACTGTGCTGGGACACCTGAGCCTACTTTCTGCTAGCTAGCAGCTTGTCTGGGTGACTGGATGCCACTGGGAAAAGCCTGCCCTGGAGCAGCAGCAGTGTATCACCACGCACCTATGTCTGGGTAACAGCAGACTGCCACTGCCTTCTCCAAACACTGCTGTCCCCACATTCTACATTCAAAATTCATTCAAGGATTTATCTTGCTACAAGAGTAAAAGGTTTTTACTTTTATTGATCGGGTCTCAGAATGAATTATGGTGGAGGAGGGAGCTTGTCAATGTGGTGTTACTTTGGAGAGAAATGAAGTGACCTAACATTGTCAGGGTGAAGAAAAAAAAAAAAAAAGCCTTTCATGTATTACAAACAGCCTAGTTCACAGCTGACTGCCTGATATAATTGATCACAAAGTCTGGCATCACTAAAACAGAAGCAGTCAAGCTTTAAAAGCAGAATAGTACTGTAACAGAAATGTAACGAAAGACTCATTCTTACTTTCAGGTACCAGCCAAAAAAGTGAGCAGGAACAAATCCATCCAGTTTGTCCTATAAACCAAGAAGAGAGCGTAGGTCACTTTGCACTCCAAACAATAACCCATTCTTCAGGCTTACTTTTCCCCAAGAAAAATACAGCAATAAACCTCAGTTGCTTCCCACATCAGGACTAGAAAAGGACACTGTAACTGCTCTCAGTGACTCCAGCTCCCGATGCACTGCAGACTTACAGGGCAGACCCAAAGGATTCAGTGCTCCTCACTACACAAGCACTAACGGCTCCATGTAGTCAGGGAGTTGTAAGTAATTGTAATTCTTTTGCCCTTGAATTTAAACTCATCTGTTTGCCAGTGAGAAACAAGAACCTGATGGTTTCTGGTTTTCAGAAAAGTGCAACTTGTGGATTGCTGGCAACATGCAACTTTTGAACTTTGGGCCTCAAGGTGATCGAGAGGAGAAGATTTGTTAAGCACACAAATAAACCCAAACGCGTAAGGGAAAAGGTTTACATCAGTAATCTGAGAAACATGGACTGTTAAACAGTGCACCCTCTCTCCTGGGCAATGTAGTTGGGACACAAAGAGACACACCTCCATCTGATGAACAGGAAAGGTCAAGAGGAAATTAAAGAAAGAGTCAGTCATGACCTGTTCTCTCATTCAACGCTCAGAAAGGCCAATGACTGCACTTTGAAGAGTTCAATTAATCAACTGTTACCAAAAAAACAGACTCATTAGCAAGTAACTTTGTTTCTTACCCAGATGTTGTGAAACGGATCAGTTTCATTGCCAGGATCATAAATAAGGCAGTTGCCACCGTAGTCTCTTTCTGGCAAAGGAACACCTAAATGTGGATCAATGTACTTCATAAACTGCCTGCCATCGTGCACAGTCTGCAAAGGAAACACAAACCCACGTTTCCCTCTTAGTGAGTATTAATGCACAGAAAAGTACAAAGATATTTAAGATCAACATTGTATCCTCAGATGGGTGGGTTTTTTAAAATGTGTTGCAGAACAATTCTTGAAATATATCCAAACCTCAGAGCACCACACAGCACGTATACCTGACTTTCTGGGCCTCTAGTGCTAAATATTAAGGGAAAAAAATTACTACAGAATGAACTTAAGATTTCTTAAAGATGAAAAATTGGAGATCTTAACTGTTTCCCAAGCCACTCCTCCATGCCCCCTCCCTCCCAAAAGCTCAGCACTTGAACTGGCACAACTCATCCTTCCCACTGACCATCCTGCCCTTCCCCGAGCTTGGCGAGGGCAAAGGCAGAGCAGGCAGTAACTCAGGAAAGGCTCCCTTAGTGCCTGATCTCCTGCCTTAGTGACCTGCCGGATTCCTACAGTGGGAAGGATCCAGCAGCACTTTGAACACCAGCCTGGATGGAACACAGACATCAGCAGATGGAGGATGTCGATCGGGGCGCTGGTCGCGGGATGAGCCATGCGTGCGCGCTCAGCGCACTTCAGCTACGGAAAGCCAACAACTGCACAGCATTTCACAGCAGGAAATATACCCTGCAGCTCGTTAGAGAAACAGTTATTTCAAGTAAGGCCCCACTAGCAGCACAAGTAGTAAGCTTGAAGCAAACAGCAAGGAAGAAATTATCAAAATATTAGTTATAAACAGTGACTAAAACTTGACCTAATTTACTATAACTCACACACATCTGCTGAACAAGTATTCCCCAATGGAATCGCTCTCTGTCGTGGTCAATGTTTGACAACAAAAGCCATGTAACACCTGTGACAGACTAGCAGGTGGTAAAAGCAGCACCTCTAACGAATTAACCAAAATTAATTGATATCAATAATAATAAAATTATAGAATAAAACCACTAAAGTCACATTAACTGTAAGACAAGTTTCAACCATGAGCGAGCTTGTATTTGCTTAAGAAGTTTAGTCACTTACAGACTCAGCATAATTTTAACCTTATTTAAACCTGTACAAAGTAATAATGTATTTTTAGAAAAGAGCTGAGCAACAGCTAGTGAGTGTCCTTAACAACTAAACGCTGGTAACATAACACACTGCCAGAGGAAAGCAAAGCAATTCCCAGATTTTCTATTAGAATTCAGAACTACAACAGTGCTATCAAATAAAAATGGAACATATCATTCAGTCTGACTGCAGCTTGTGAGGAGTATCATTTGTAAGGACGCCTGGACAGAAAACAGGGTGACATGAAACAGCAAGAACACCAGAGTAAATTGGAACTGAGTAAGTATTCCTCAGCGGTGAGGAATAACAACAGAAAAGGCAAGACAGACCTGCTCATGCCTGTGAAAGGGTCAGAACTCCGCTCCCTCCAAGCAGGACAGGCAGCCTGAAAGAAACCCTAATGAGTCATTAGGGCCCCGTGTCATGTTTTAACTGAACCCCCAGTTATGTCAGCGGGACAGAAGCTCAGGCTGCTGTTTACTGACCTACTGCAGACACATTCCAGCTGCTCACTGAAACAACCAGCCAGGAAAGTTCTGTGTTCTTAAGGGAGCTTGGCACTGACTTTTGGGGGGGCTCCAGGAAAGCCGAGCAGAAAACGAAATAGTGGAGCCAAAGAAAATCTTTGATTAGCTGGAAAGGGTTTGATCAATATTAAAAACTTGTTTGCAAAGCACATGCCCTACTCCAACAGAAGGCAGATGACAGATCCTGACACCTCTGAAGAGCCTCATTTCCTCAAGCTCGCTTGGCCTCTAGAGGAACAAACATGTTCCTCATCCTTCTCTCATCTAAAATTATTTTTAAAGCTACTGGATGAGTATGTGACAGTACTTGCACAAGCCTTTTAAAATACAGAGCACCAAACATTAATAAGATGTCAGCAAGAATGATCTATCTGAAAACAAACAACTAGGGACTCTAATTGGAATCTAAATCTGAAAGTGGTTTGGTATCTCTACATTCGCATATGGTTTCAAACCATGCTGTTGCCTGAGGAGATGACTGCAATAATGGGATGGCAGCACTGAGGAAAGGTGAGTCTCCCTTAAAATCTCGAGCTCTTTCTTGGCACTCCAACCTGATCTGCAGTGGTGTAAGCATACACACAGATACACAATGGCTTTGTTAACAGCGTCAACTCTACTGCTCTTGCTTATCTCAAAATATTTTACCTCAACTGCGGCATTTCTGAGAAGTCATGGAATTGCAAAAGCCAGGGGAAAGTTTGCAGTTTACTAAAGAACAAGAATATGGTAAAAAATAACGTGCTTTATTTGGAAATACCAATAGTATGTCTTTCTAGAAAAAACATCATCCTCCATTTGCTGCCACTACACAAAGTGGTGTATGAAGTTTTGTTTTATTGGAAAAAAAATGCTCAAAGCACCTATCCCTCAAGGTAGAAAGTATTTCAAAAGATTAAAGAAGATTAATTCACCCCACAATCTGTAGGATCTAAGAAACTAACAGTTGGTATGCAACTTCAGCAGGTCACATCCAGTCCAGCAGAGCAGAGACTGAACATGAGAAGCACCAACTTCCGATCCTCTGATCTAAACAAGAACTCTGATTTCTTATAAACTCATTTCAGAACACTTCACTGCGGTGTCTAACCTAGGCTGAGACCAACTGGAGGTTAGACAACAAGGTGAAATATTTAGATATTATAGTTTTTCCTCAATCTAGAAGTCTCATTAAATATCACAATGACTTGATTTCACAAAAATGAATAGCATCTCCTGTGGTCAGTGAGAACCCTGAAGAACACCACACAGGATTATTAAACTGGCATTTGGTAACTAGAGGTCTAAGTTACTTACCTGAAAGAGTATAAAGATGAGGAAGAGCTCATATACAACGCTGACACACAGCCAGAACCTCCAGTAAGCTACAGAAACAGACAAACGGGATGTTAGCGAGCTTTCAGGCAGAACAGCAGCCCTGTTCATTTACTGTAATGAAACTGAACATTTCAAAAAGATGCTCCCACCAAGAAATGACACAGCCCAGCATTCAACTTCACCTCTTAGAGGGTACAATCAGAAAGGCTCTTTAACTACCAGTCAGGCTGCTCTGTACCTGTGCCAGAACTGCTCAGACAATGACCTGGATGTGTGGGAAAGGACCAGGATCCCCAAGAATGCTTCAACCCAATGAACTAAATATTTAAGAATTAGAAGGAAAGCTCCATGTCACTTGCAATGCCTTCTAGCAGTCCCTGGAAGAGAACCACATCCTTCCTGAACTAACTGAATTTCTTCCTCCATGATCTCACGTAACCTGACCTGTCCAACTTTGTTTTTCCCGGTCCTATCAGGGGAAACGTGCTTTGCCGACCTCTGCCCGTGTGCTGCTAAGACCGGCAGGAAGAATCACTGCTTTTACTTTTGTAAAGCCATCTTTTTTCCTGAAGACAAAGTAGTTTCCTCAAGGGGCAGAAAACATTTCAAAATATCAAAAACATTTTCACCTTTACTAGGAATTAATTTTTTTAAAATGTACCAAAGGTTTAGCAGGTGCTAAATGAAAGACCTATGAGATCACCTGAAACTCTTCATAAGAGAAACATCATGCAAAACTCAGCTCCTTCAGGGTCTGCAGTCTTTTTTCACCCTCCCAAGATGTGTGATTACAGCTCTTCTCACACTGAAGCAACACCTGAATCTAAAGGGAACACAAATTGAAGCACTTGTACACTTCCAGCTCCACCACTGTCACCTCAGTTCTTCTGAAAGACTCAGTCCTCAGGTAACAGGCTCTCTGACTGTCCTGGGTACCAGCTCTGTGCTCCATGGGCTGCATTCATGTCCCTAATGCATCCAAACTCCACCCAGAGACTGGTTTGGCCTCTGTTCCACAAAGCCATTTCCGGGCTCTGAATCTCATCCAGCGCCTTTGTTGACTCCTGTACAGGAGGCCAGGTTAATGCAGAGCCAGGGTGTGCACAGACAGATGCTCCAGCATTTTTTCCTAACCACATCCAAAAATTTATACCAGGTAATTCAGCAAAACTTGACTCATTCCAAGTGGATATTTCAATCTCTCAGTAACACCATGTACTAATCACTTTGGAATGATTTTAATAAGACTTTCCTTCAGGTGTTTCCTGTTTACACTTACAAAACAGAGCTCTCCTTCCACAGTTACATCCTGGTGACAGGACTGGACTGGGGCAAAGAGGAATCAAGACAGTTGTTCATGTGGCTGAGTGGAGACAGCAAGCTGTCCCACCTGCATGGACATGGTTTGCCATGAAGTGAAAAAAAACCAAGAACCTTCAGGCCTGATTTAGGAATTTATCTGCATTAACTCCGAGGCAACTTAGGCATGTTAATGCTTAAAGGCAGGACCATGACACAAATAATGCAAGAACTAAACATAAACTCCAGGCTTGTGAACACACTTGTTTATCAGCTCACAACCTGCAATCAACGAGCCATGGTGCTGCAGAGCTTCCTAGAGGCTTGTCTGCCCCTGAAACAAAAATAAATGTTCTCTTTGCCCAGTGCAGCCTCAAGTAGGAAAAAAAACCAACCAAAAAACACCACATTTTTAAAAGAAGTCTAACAGTCTGCTTCTGACACCATCATTAAAATAGACTGAAATGTGAGAAAGTGTGACCTTAATTCAGCAGTTTTGCTGAAAAAATTTCACCAAAATGGCCTACTTTACACTTCCAAGAAAAAGAAAAATTAAAAATAAAAAAGGCAAGTGTGGCCTGGATAACAGGAAGTTCAGAGCTCTCACACTCCCCAAATTTGGGTGTTCATCCACCAATAAAGGGACTCTCAAGCAGAGATTAAGATCTGTTCCCTGTAAAATATTGTTCCTTGGGCTTAAGGCAGTGTTCCTCCTTTGCTACAAGGTTTGGATGGAACCAAATGGAGGCCTTGAAGCCAATGGTTCACAGGAAGGAAATGGAAAATGGGGTAAAAAGCAGGGTAAGTTTGCAAAGCAGTCTTGCCTAAATAGTTATTTTCATTATAGTCCTACATTTCTGAATTACAGTAAGGAACAAATTATTAGCTAAAGGGGAGAAAATGGGGGAGATGTGAAATCGGCAGAAAAATGATAAAGCTGGATGAGCCATTGGCCAAAGCTGACATTGCTGGTAATACTGAAAGGAAGGGCAAAAAACCCCTGCAGTCTGGATGGTACCACTCACATGGTGGCTAAGATCCATTTCATTAATGGCCTTAGTGAAAAGTAGGTTAATAACACAAACAACAGCAGCAGGGACAACAAAGAGCAAATCAGATGATCTCAAAGGACTAGAGCAATAGAAGAGCTCGTAATACAGTTTCACGCTTAGGAACCAGTAAGTTTCCACAGTAGCTCATCAGCTGAAGCAGCAGGATTTGGTATTACCTGCCAGTCACTCAGCCCTCACTGTAGCACAGCCATGAAAAAAGCACACGCAGTACAGAGACGGGCACCAAGGTACTGCAGAGATACTGGGAAGCATTAACTTGATCACAAAAACCTTCAGTGCTCTCACACCTGCTGCATCCTACACAGCTCTGGACAGCCACCGTAAAGAAGAAAACTCACAATAAAGCACACAAAGAAAAGGATTACCAAAACGTTGTGGGGAAAGCAGACTTTATTGAGGGGGGAGACTAAAGGCAAAACGTGTTGCTTTAGCAGGTTGTTTGCTTTAGCAAAACCCATGGTGAGCTGGCATATGTGAGTTGTGTATAAATCAATCAGGTGGACAAACACAGAGTAGTCAGAGCTATTTAAACAGAACAACAACATTAGGCACAAAAAACCAGACAAAAAGCTAAAAGCTCTCTGAGCTGGTCATAAATAGACACACACATACAAATGACAGGGCTCCAAAAATCACCAGAGGGAAGCAGGGCACGAAGCCTCATACTGTTAAGATCCAGCTCGAAGAGTTCATGTAACAGATCTGCTGTGGCCGTATGTGCCCACAGTGACCTGGCCGACCCAAAGGCTTCCTTCTGCCCTATAAATGGAAGCAGCACACACCAGTGGGCTGTGCTGCCAGTTCCTTTGAGATGAGATCTTTCTCCTGGAACAGCATGAGAAGCTAAGGTCAGAGACTCAACTACCTGCTGGGACCTTCCTAACGCACCCCTCTGTAATCAGAGAGCAGAGCCTGCATCTCACAGGGCTGCAGTGCCCTGTCCTCTGCGCCTTCCCACAGAAGAGCCGTGGAGGAAAAGCACCATTCTCCTCTAAAGAGGCACCATGATGTCTTTCTCCGACTGTGGAAGCATCCACTACCCTAGTGAGCTGCTGCAGCCCCTGAAAGCCACTCTTCAGAAGATCATCCCATCAAACAAGTGAGAAGGAAGGTGAAGTTAAGACAAAAGACAACATGAATACGCTCTGTATTTGAAGTCATTGAATACGTGGGAGCTTCTTCAATCAGCCCGTTCATGGAGGATTTGAATGTGCTGAAAGACACTCAGCTGTCGTTTCCCAGATGGGAGGAGCGTACAGAGGTGGTAGATGTTGGCTCTGTCTACGCTAGAAGTTTGCTGTAGAGATCTTTGAGCTTTGGACTTTCCCCATCCAATTTGTACTACTTTGTTCTAGGGAATAAAAATTACTTCTGTCCCAGACAAAACCTCTGGATGTTCTAAAACAAAGCACCCAAATATCACTGGTGTGTTGAAAAGGGGTAATTTGTTTTATAGGAGGAAGCAGAATTAACTGTAACAGAAAGGAAAGATTAAAAACTGTTATGTAATAAGACCTCAGAAACACAGATTTCCAAATAAAACCTGAAGTTTGCAGAGGTGTGCTGTGGGCACTGCCCAGAACAACATCTGCTTTAGCGAGGATTTTAACATGTCTGCTCTTTCTCATAGAGGACAGCATTCCTAAACTGGAAGATTAAATTAAATATAGCTTTATTTGACTATAGGAGAGCCTAATGCTTTCAGGAACATTATGTAAGCCTATATAAATTCCCTTAATTCTTTCTCAGCAATTCACATCTAAAAATAGGCAAAAAAATCAAAGATATTAAAATATTTTCATACTTCAATTGATACAACACTACATGGGAGAGGTTTTATGCTGTGCTTTCAGGACTCGCAGTCTTACCAGAAACCTTTAAAATAGTAATCAAGGGCTTCTAATCTACCAGCTAATGGACCAACAGCAAAGGGAACACAGTGCTCCAGCAACCAGATACACAGTCAGAACTGCAGTCCCATTAGAGGGGAAAAAAAAATAAAACCAAAAAGGGATAAACAAGGGAAGTTCAGGTTTCAAGAACCTTGCAGCTCACACAAAGCTTTTTCCTAACAACAGGAAGCCAAAACAGGGAGATCCAAAAAAGAAAAACAATCCTGGGCTACATGCAGATTGAAAGCACAGGAGGACCACTGTGCTGTGTGGAAGCTGGGAGGATGTGTGGTAAGCATGCAGTGTTAATGAACCTGTATTAGTATTATTTAAATTACCACTTACCTTCTCTACAAGTAACACAAACATTTACATTCACTATAAACCATGCAGTTTATCAGAAACATGTGAGTGACTGAAGCAACTTCCGTTACCTGGATGAGGTCTCGAAAATGGTCCATCTTTAGCTTGTGTAACTCCAAAACATAAGAAAACCAAGATACTGGCAACAATACCTCTGAAAGTGAAACACAGGACAAACTGGTTACATTGCTTCACCTTCCTAATGAAACTGTAAATTATATTCTTCAGTGTAAAAAACGTCTGGTCTTTGTTTCTTAGCTACTAAGCATGTCAATCATAAATAGATGCCTTTTGGAGACTCAGGGAGATGGGTATAAATCCCTGTCCTTCTAAGCGTGGTTCCATGACAGGCTGTCTCAGACCCTGGAGTTTATCCATCCAGCCCTCTCCCTTCCTGCCCCCTAGCCCCATGCTTCCGTTCCTTCCACTTTGCTGTCACCGACTCATATCCAGCCAGGCGAGGAGTCGGAGCTGGCTGAGAACTCATCCAGCAAAAACAAAACAAAACAAAAGGAGCAGTTCCTCAGTCTGCACGATGAGCCTCAGCCTGCAGATGGACACGAGAGGCACAGTAAGTCAAACCCTGGTAAAGCTTTTATGCTCACTTTGTCAGAATGACACTCAGAATTTAGCAGCAAGAAAGCTCTCAAGTTAGAGAGCTTCTCATTGCTCCAGTAAAATTTCAATGAAATTTAAAAACTAACTGTTGAACTTGTCACCACTCCAGAACATTTCCTTAGTCAACTAAAGACAGGGAGGAGCTTATCAGATCAAACCAGAACTGGTGCTATTTCCAAAGCTCAAACTGTAACACAGAGCAGAACCAAACTGAGACATTAAAGGAAAAATAATAATTATCAGACCATGAGCCCAAGGAAACCAAAGACCCACAAGCTCATCCCAATACTCTAAGCCCAGACTAGGACAGTTTTCTCTCATCTTCAGCAAGGTCACACCTAATTAAGGACTGCCTCCATGCAGGAGGTGGCATTCCT